AACAGCAAAACGTACTTAAAATAATTGTGCAGAATGACTCCTTTTAGAGTGTGACATTAGTCTACTAAATATACCATTTTACCTGATTATTATTATATATGCATTAACATGTAAGCAACATTTTAATGTTGAGTCAAGTGCTCATTATAACTATAGTCTATAGTCTGTTGGGTAGTCAAATCTACAATCAATGCTCATATTTTGTAAACTGAGCGGATCTTTTGAATGAAAATCCTAATCTACAAAGTAGCCTTCTATTAACTGCAGCTGTCAGGTAGATGTGAAGGTCAGTGGTGATACTGAAGTATAATATAGCAGAAATGGGAAACTCAAGTTAAAATTGTACCTAAATTGTGCTTGAGTAAATGGAACCTACACTCTCCACCACTGTTAGTAACCTGCACAGCATGGACTATTGGTGTGTAATTGAACTGAATTCACCTTTACAGCAGATGAAGATGTCAGCATAAGGGGGGGGGGGGTCTACAAAACTCTCTCATGCCACATCAGATTACACTGTAAGCTTTATTTAGCCTGGAGCTTTGAGGAATACAAATCTGGGCATCACATGAGAATTACTGTTAACACTAGTTGACAGATGATGCAATCTTATAAGCAATTGCATGGAGCCGATCACACAATGAAACCCACTGCACCAGAAAAAGTGATATGAGTAGGTAATTCATTATTTAATTAATATGAAAGTAGATAAGTGGGGGGATGAAAAGACATTTTCAAAATTGGGGAACATTTTGCCCGTATGGGGTCAGCAGTGCCAGGACACCAAATGCCATGAAGCAAGCCGTGAAAACGTGCATGTCGTCTAGGCATGGGATCATCAAAGCCCCCAGAGAGTGGCGAGGCGAGATACGTGTCTGTGATCATGTCCGCGCAGCCCCCATCCAAAGCTGTGGTCTATTATTGTCCCAGGAAACGGGTAATTACAACTGGACATCTCCTGGACTGAGCCCAAAGCCGGCTTCAGTGCTCGCGCGAGGGACAGAGAGGGATCACATACCACACAGTCCAGAGCCCTAGACTCCATGGCAAATACATGCGACCGTCATTTGCGCAGCTATTTCTCGAAGTTGGATTTATTACCCCTCTGCAGTGGGCTCTCAGCGTGGGCGTGCGTAATTTGCGCTCATTATTCGTTTCCCCCAAAGTTGTGTAAGAAGTTCGGAGAGGACAATTAGGCGGCTACCGGAAAATCTTAATGAATAGACAACTCTGCTTCTAAAGAGAGGACCTCATTTGTGTCAGAACGAAACACAAGGAACTGTTGATTCAGTCAGCTCCACATTGAGGCTGTGTAAACTTCTCATTTCAAGTTATGAAAACAAAGACAAAGAATCAAACTTGGAGCATATGTGTTGTTATTGCAATCTGCCGGTGTGGGGTAAAGTAGTTTAGTGTAGCACACGGGTGAGAAAAAGGGGGTCCTTGATTGCAACATCAAACACTTGTGTCGTCACTCGTCAGCGATACGTGCAAGCACTGCCTGTTCCAAAATAAATATTGACGTGAATGTTGTATTCAAATGAGCTGCCTGGCCGGACACAGGCGGGCCAATCAGAGCCCATCGTATCATCACACCTTCTTTTCAGAAATCATTCATAACGCCGATGCGTCAAACACTCAGAGAGGACCCAGCTATAAATACGGCTGCGCGCAACGCACAGTTAGACATTTTCCCAAAATCAAACGAAAGATAGCCTACAACTGAGCAAGAACCGTGAGAATCCGGCTTTTTCCTTTGATTATTCTCTCTAGCTTGCTTTACATTTTATATTCTATATTTAGTATCCAGCTCACTATGTTGACCATGGGTGGATTATATTTGAAGCACGTCGTGGTGGCAGCGGTGTGCTCCGTGCTGTCCACAGGGACGCTGGGGTCCCCAGTGGTGGGGCAAGAGCCGATCCGATGCGCCGCGTGTACTCCGGAGAAGCTGAGTCAGTGTCCAGCGGTGGCATCCGAATGCGCTGAAGTGTTGCGGGAGCCCGGCTGTGGATGCTGCCTCGCCTGCGCCCTGACGGCCGGGGAGCTGTGCGGGATCTACACAGCGCCATGCGGCTCCGGACTGAGGTGCACCCCGAGACCTGGCGACCCCCGGCCGCTGCACTCCCTCACCCGGGGACAAGCAGTGTGCACGGCGAGCACTGAGCCCGAGACGACCCCCGAGCCCCAGGCACAAGGTAGGCCTATAACCTCCACATTTAGACATCTGTGTTTTAGGCTACCACATCCAGCAAATCATCACCATTACATTTCCAAAACACTTGACTAGTCTATTCTGAAGTAATTTACAGTTACATTCAGTCAGTCCCGCTTCATATTCATTCAATTCCCTTCTCCAGATCAGGGAGAGCCAGAGGCTGAGATGGAGAACTCAGCCATCGTCTCGGACCCCGGCTCCAGCCATTACCTCCCCGGGCACAGTAAGCCCTACGACCCGAGGGCGCCCGCCGACGCTCAGGAGAGTATGAAAGCCAAACTCATCGCCATCCGCAAGAAACTGGTTGAACAGGTAAGACCCCTAACCCTGTGTGGATTCTGTGAAATCATATGTGTGCAATATGTTACTAAAAGTTTTGGTGAGGTTTGGGGAAAGGACTAGTCCACCACAAGGGGGAGCTCGTGTGCTGTTTGACAAAATGTTGGAGGGGGAAATAGGGAATGGGGATGCTTGTTATTACAAGTTTTATATGCAGTTTGATGTCAGCCCACGTGCTTGCTGATAATAAAGCAGTGTCGATTATTATTTCTCTGTGTTGGCACTGTGCAAATACAGAACTCAGTTAACATTTTCCCTCACTCCTCTCTACAGGGGCCCTGTCATGTTGAGCTGCAGAGAGCCTTGGATAAGATTGCCAAATCCCAGCAGAAATTGGGAGACAAATTAACCAGATTCTACCTCCCTAACTGTGACAAACACGGGCTTTATAAACCCAAACAGGTTCGTATCTTCAGTAAAATCTGCCCTCAGTGTGTATTTGGCTTTTTGGGGATGGCTTCATATGACTCCACTCAGCATAAAAGAATCTCACCAAATTGTGTGTGAGAGCATGTAGCCAAGATTATGTCAACCACAGCTTTCAAATGATTGTGTGCGGGTTAATGGGTGTTGCAGGCAGGGGTTTGTTCAGTTTGCACCTCAGAGTGTGTTTTTTGTTTCAGTGTAATGTCACTCAGTTAGTGTTGCATGACTGTGTGTATCACATATGGAATGAAATGCAGTTGATTAAAAGGGTTTCTGTTTCTCTGCAGTGTGAATCCTCTCTGGACGGACAGAGGGGTCGATGCTGGTGTGTGAATTCCTGGAATGGCAAGAAGATTTTAGGTTCGACCGACCTGCCTGCAGATGCCGAGTGCCCTTAAAGAGATCAACCACTGATGCCGATCTGACAACAAACGAATAAGAAGAAGCAAGCCACTGATTTTTCCTTTTTGATAGCTGTTTATTTATTGATCTTGTCCATGGTGGTGTTTAATTCAGGTACACTGTCTTTACGGGACTGTGGGTCCCAAACACCCAGAAACCCTCCCTCCCTCCCTCCTCTTCAAACACCCGTCCCAAAGAGAAAAAAATCTATTTTTGTTTTTCTGTAAAGGAGATTTTAATATTTGTGCATTTACTTCTATTCTTCAGCCTTATTTATTTCCATTGTATTTCAATGTATTTGTTTTTCGTAATTATTCTATGAGTATTTATATCTTTTTTTGCCTTATTATTATATTATTATTTTTATGGGTGTATAAAGTGTATTTATGTATCTTGGCCCTGAGTAACTCCACTGCTGAGTTGAGCTCTCTCTCACCATGTCTAGAGTTTGGTTTATGACAAACCAAGCAAGAACAAAAGCACTGAGTGACCAAATGTTATTTAGAAGTATTTCTAAATGTTGTTTTTATAAATCATTTTCACATTGTTGCCATTGTTACATCCTTTTTGTTTTGTTATTGTCTTTTTTTTTCTGATGTGACACATGATCAGCTCTTGTCAGTAAATGCAAAACTCTCAGTCGGGAATCCTTAAACAGTCTCAGAAAACATTTCCCATGGATCCATGGGGTTGCAGATAGCATGACAGGTGGTGCCTCCCTGCACCACCTCTCAGACGGGTATATCTACATTAACCTACCTCCAATATTTATGTGTCTGCTGTCAGTTGTGTTGATGCATTTGTCAAAAAAAGACTTGCTGTTTTACTTTATATGTTGCTGTTCTCTCTGACCAAGAACACATGACCACAAAGAGCGAGTCCCTGGCTGTGCTCTATCTACATGCTGCTGTTGGAGAGAGAATTATTGTTTATGTGAGTATATTCCAAAGTGACTAACTGCTCACTCGTGTGTATGTACACTTTTGTAATTGAGATGTAAAAAGGTGATATATTTAATAAAAACATTAACCTCAGCTATGCGCTCCTGGCCTCTCTTTCACCTCAGGCAGGTTTATTTTGTGCACAAACATCCATAGGCAGCAGAACACAAGAATCATAACAATTTCATCACTTGATTATGAAAGTCTGTGTATAGATACACTCCTGGACCACATTTTCTATATTTGGTGTGTTTGTGAGCAGTGTTATCATGGTGATCTAAAGTGGAGGTCCTTGTCTAACTTTAGACAGTTCGCGGGGACATGCAGCTCTGCGCTGCCTTTTGACCCGCTCTCTGTTTGCCTTGGTTGGGCGCAGGAATTCGCCTCAACCTCTCGTGCCCACTGACCAGCCTGCCTGGCACCACCAGATTTATTTTTATTCTTTACAAATTGAACCTTTGCTTTATCCTTATTGACACATTCCAAGACTGAGGGGAGCCTGATTGCATTCAAGGACTTCAACTTGAGCAAATTTGTGTCCTGATTGCCTGATGACATCAAGCAGAGCAGATGATCGGCTTATTAGCTGCTGATGACAACATAAGCCGGTTCCTTCCCAAAGATATAAAAACTAAGTGATGGAAGATACAATAACAAACACCAGAGACAATATCTTAAAATGTGTTCATTTTTATTTTAAAAAAAGACATTAAATACAAATTATATTTTGAATCAAAATCGTTTCCTTTCTCAGAGAAAATAATAGCTGTGTGATTTTTTAGTTTAGTATCATGAAAAGCTTGAGTCAAAAAACTCGAAACAAAATACATTTACCCGTGAACAGAGAGATTCTTAATGTGACCAGCAGGGAAAAATAACAATAAAAAAATCAAAAGTGACGTTACAGAAGTGTGACCCTGGCTCTGCACTAACAGACTGAGGAAGGATGGCTGGGTGTGCATGGAGAGAAGTGACTTACTAAGAGGTGTGAGGTTCACTTGCCTTAAGAAGCAGTGAAATAAGATGACCAGAGACCTGAGTGACTGACTGACACAGATTTTGCCCCAGGCTGAAACTCGCCTGCTGGGCACGGAGCTTAAAAATGACACTGCTGAGCAACAGAAGGAAAAGTTCCATTACAAAATAAAACATTCATTAGTGATTATATTCCCCAAAATACACTGAATCATATAGACTTTGCTGTGCAATCGGTGAGTCACTTAATTGTTCATAAGAAAACCTAGTTTGGATCAGCTTATAATTCTTTCTTAGATAAATAATTTTCATTTTTAAGTACTGTACATGATGTCTAGTCAGACACATAGCTGGCCAGGAAATAATAATAATAATAATATATAAAAAGACACACTTACAAATATTAGGGAGGGAATAGCTTAAACATATTTTATGTATGTTCCTCCCCTCACATCAAGTCTTTGAATAGATGGGATATAGCACCAACAGGCTGGTTGTAAGCTGCTGCTGTCTATTAAAGGAAGTGTACAGCCGATTTCATGCTACCAAGCTACTGGGCAAGCATTCTTTGTCGGCGCTCTCTCCACTTTTCAAGTCTTTACACAGGATGTGGGAGAGCATCGGGCCGGAAGCTCCTCTGGGAGGACCCTGCCTCCTCCCTCAGACCCCCTACCACTTGTGTGAATGCATATTTGGTGCTGTGTCCACCTTGTGGAGATTTGTTGGCATACCATCATACAAGCATTTTTCAAAGAAACAAAAACAACAACAACAAAAAAGAAAATAGTTGCATTGAATGGAAAATTTCTGAGGGGTGTTCGCTAAGTTCTCTGTCAGAAGGTCCTGGTGTAGTTTCGTTTTTTTTTTCTTTCTTTTTCTTCTCCTCTCTAGGTTATTATTGTTTTCTTACAGTATCACACTGTTTCATCTGACATTACCTCGAAGGAAAGGTATGCAGATTCAGATAGGTCCAATTGTCTTTAACTGCATGCAATGACGAGTAGCGGCGCAGCTAAAGTGCTTTAAGTGCTTGTGCTTGGGCTTGAAGCATAGGGGCAGCTGGCACCTGTGGAAGAGCGGGCCGGTCACACCGGGCTCGCCCCGTACAAACAAGCCTACACCAGGTTGCACCACTGACAGGAAGAGGACTGGAGGAGGGCAGGGTGCTGAAATGGGGCTCGGGTTTGTGGGTCGGAGACAGGGACGGGATGAGGCACACAGACAAGGACACATTTTTAGACATGGGGTGAAGACATGTAGGGTTGGAGGAGCTCAGCACCAGAGCTGCATGATGGACATGGGACAAAGAAGGGTTGAGGACATAGGAGAGCAGTTTACATATAGAAAGCCAATGAGGTTATTTTTTAGCCACTCTGTATGATGACTACAATGCCAGTCTGTGTCTCTTTACATCGTGCAGGTTTTATCACTTTATTGATTACTAAAGTCCAAAAGTGCTCGAAAAATGAAATCTTAACGTTCCAATATAGTAAAATTGCTTTTGGAATTTCTATGCGGGACAAAAAGGTTGAATATCTTACAGAATGGCATTCAGATCCACTGGCACACATGTGCAGGAGCATAGAGGTGCGCTCACAAACGCGACTGCAACAGCGTTTATACATACCAGCAGGCAATATAAAACTACATTAATAGACATTAAAACATCAAATGGCAGGGAAAAAGAGACAAATAATGACCTCATCAGCTTTCCACAGTTACAGCCATATTGGAACAGGGACATGAATGTGGACAGGGACAGGAGGTGGTGGGAAAGAGACTAGAAGACAGACTAATCTCACTAGAGTGCAGGGCGGCCAGCATGTGAGCACCTTAAAATAATACTTTAAAAATTTGTAACTTGCTCTTTCATCGAGAACAGCAGCTGTAGTTAGCTTGGATTCACAGCAGTTACCGTGGACTCCATTGGCAACCCATAATCCCAAAAAAGCATCAAAATGTCCATGGAAACTTCTCAAACCACTGCTGCAGCATAGTCCACCTCTCCACCATCCATTTGGTATGTTCCATACCAATACACAACTTCTCTTTGTTGCCCTTCAAATCTATTGTAGTTGCTGTGATTTCAGGCTAACTAAAGCTGCTGTCCTCCACAAAGGTGTAAGCTGCAAATTATTCAGAGCTGCATTTAAAGCCTGCAGGGGACGAGTTTTTGATATTCAAAAGGTAGATTTTCTGTTAAGTATTCCTTTAATCGAGGAGTACAGAGGGTGAAGGTGAGGGGAGGCATGGAAATGTCTGTTTTTAAGGCACGGTAACTGCACGGTTTTCTTCTATTCCCTTCCCAGTTGCAGGGCGAGGGACAAGTCCGAGGCAGCAAGGAGGGCCCCTGGTGGCCATCATGCTGGATAAGAAGTCAAAGCCCTGCCATCCCATAAACCTTCACTTCAAAATGGACCCTGAGCCAGAGAGCGTTTTATCTGCATTGTTTAATGGAGCAGGTGCTGGGGATGGGCAGTCTGACATCGCTAAACTGAGCTTAGTGACATACAGTATTTACACAAATAAACACTTTTGGGAAAGTGCACACTCATACGGCATCTTGCACAGACATGCAGCTGTGCACACGTATATTATGCAGGTGCTCACACTAAGACAAACACACACTCGCGATTACACACTCACATACAGACAGACACACACAATAGAGACGGCGGTGGTATGGGTTTTTTTTCGGGTCACAGTCACAAACAAGTCCTCTGTAGTGAGTGGAAAAGTCCCTCCTTCCTCTCTCTCTAAAAGAATAGTGCAGATGGTAGGATTCTCTCTTTCTTCAACTTTTCTCCCAGCTTTCAGCTTAATTATTTTTATTTAAAAGAAAGCATAGAGGCTCCCTAAGCACAGGACAGATAGCTGTGATGGACAGGAGGCTTGGCTGGTTGCAGAGGCTGTGCTCCACCCCTTTCGCCCTCCCCCTTGTTCTCGCCCTAACTCTCCGACAGAAATGGGACCTGAAATCAAAGGTCCAGAGTCCCTTCAAATGTTTGATTAAAACTACATGCAAGAGCAAAGTCGGCTCTCTTTCTTTGTCTGTCTTTCTCTCTCCCCTCACCCCTCTTGTTCTCTGTCCTCCTCTCTCCGTCCTCTCTCCGTCCACTCGTCGTCCCTTCGTCCTCTCACTTGCTCTCATGGTTAGAACACAGCGTCTCGCCCCGCTCCTTGCCGTCGTAGCCGGGCAGAGGCTGCCCGTATTTGTCCACGCACCAGCAGTAGCCCCGCCTCTTGCCTTTGGATGGACGGCACTGCAAAGAGAGGTGAAGGGAAAAAAATGAATATGCTGCTTGTTTGCTTTTAGTAAACACTATGCGAAGACTAAATGTGTGCAGCCTTCAACAAGAGGCATTGTATGGACAAACATCACTCATCACTGACTTCCATCAGAGACACTCTGAGAAACAAATAAGCTTTTCCAAGGTAAGGACTTACCCTGACACAGCTTTATCCACACCACCTTTAACATGCGCTATCTCTCTGTTGGCTTTCAGATTTTGAATGTTTGTCAGCAGAACCCTTATGAGACAAACATGTCATCGATCACCGAGAGGAATGCCCTGCTGTCTGGAACTGTCAAGTTTTTATGTGCATCATTATGTGTTTATCGGAATTAAATGCTGAAGATGATGCAGCTGTTGGCCTTGTGAAAGGCAATAATAAATGTATCAGGATCAGAGCGGGAGAGTCTCGCTCAGACATCCACGTGCAACCAGCATGCTGTCGAGTTTGTCCCATCTATGAGGTGTATGGGAATTTGTTTATCAGGCTCATGTGCTCCTGACCAGTGGGGGTAAATTATGAAAAAGTTGATTATTTTCAATAGAGATGGGCAGGAATGAGGAATGCACTGAGCGAGTGAGAGTGAAGGAGTGTGAAGGTAAACATGGAGTTGCTAAAATATTTGCCAAGGCCAGTTGGAGGGCTGCAAGGAAACCAGCGCTGCTATTCTGGGAAGCTGGCAGACACTCAAAATCATCTGGAGCTGATTATGGCCTGCGTGTGCACAAGTGTGCGTGCATACTGTATGTGCACATAAACACACATCAGCAAACATGTAGGCACACACAAACAAGAGGTGTATGTACCGCACATATACATACCCCTGACCTGCTTACACATATGTGCTCTCTCTCTCACACACACACACACACACACACACGCAGTAATATCAGATGTCCCACGGGGGGCCAGGCTTTGTAGAGTGGCAACTTTATGAGCTCCATTGGGGTACACATGACAGAGCGGCGAGGTGACCAGCCTGTCTTGCTGGCAGTGAAGTCTGAAAGTAGTGGACTGTACAGTATATACAGTGTGTGTATATAGTACACAGTACATATATTTGACATAGTATTGCATTTTTAGCCCATTTACTAGTGTTGAAGTACCGACTGGTCTTAAGCCTACTTTTTGATGGTCTCAGTCTCGTCTCAGACTCGACCACATTTGTACTCGGTCTTGTCTCGGTCATGAACATAGAGGACTCGGGATTTCAGACCAGTCAAGACCACAACTTTGGAAATATCAATAAATTGCTTTTGCATTGTCTGATTATTTTTGTTAACATACAAACTTTGACTGGATGTAAAACGTGTTGCTTTAAATGCAACCAATAACCCTAATTAAAAATGTGTTTTTACCTTTAGCGGCTGTCACCCCTCCCAGCCCCCCTTCACACGCACTCGAAGAACGAGAATGAGGGCGACAGGAGAAGATGTGGCTGTCTGTGAGCAGGAGGATATGTTAGCAAAATCTCCGTAATAACATTTAGCTATCTAAAGAATGAATCTGTAAAACAGCATCCAGAAGAAAACACAGCAGTCAGTAAATTCTGCAGTGCAACCTTAGGGAGACAGCTGGGACCATCTTATTAACTTTTACTTCCACTTAGAAAGAAACCAAAAAGAAAGGTATGCTATGTGTAAGTGACGTTAGCAGAGATAGCAAGCTTACATATGTATACTGTATGTTTCAGGGCACAAATTTCAGTTGCTTGCTATGGTTGCTTGTCAGAGTTTTGCCACCAAGCCAGGTGCACAAGCTACCTAATTTAGTTAACATATTGAGGGAACTAGTTTGTTAGAGTCTGAGGACAGGACATGTGGTGACAACTTGTTCCTAAGTTACATTTTTGCTTGTGATAAACAATGATAAGACAGGCCACATACAGCTATGTAACTAATGTGTAAGTCAAGTTACATCACCTTTAGCTGCAGCTGCATACCATATTATACAATGATTTGACATTTATTGTGTTAATTATCGATATCGAATGTTGACATTTTTTATCGTGATAACATTTTTGGCCATATCGCCCAGCTCTAATGTTAAGTGGATGGTAAACATGGAAAAGGAGTTACTGATTACAGCTCTGTAGTGTATGTGGGTGTTTTAATGAGAATGTGGATCTTTCAGATCAATTTGAGAAGTACCTATGATCTCATTCCACATTTTATTGTGTGTCAGGTAATGTGGGGAACTGGTCTTGGTCTCGACTTGGTCTCAGTCGCTAAAAGTCTTGGTCTTGTCTCGGTCTCGATAAACTCTGGTCTTGGTCTTGACTTGGTCTCGGTTTGGGAGGTATTGACTACAACACTACCATTTACTACAAACCACTTTACATCACAGCTAATGATTCCCGCAGTGTCCACAGTGATTTCTGACTGAATTACATAATTGTGATGAGTTAATGCATTGCAGACTTCATTTTCATATCCTACAGAAATGAAGAGAAAACAATAGGAAAAGAAAGATACACAACAAAATCTTACTGACTGCCTCTTTAAAAAGCTACTGCAGCCCTTTATCACTTGTTGGAATCTGAGGTCCTCAGATCAGGGTTAGTTAGTTCTTTCTCGCTCCGGGCTCAAGACAAAAGGAGGTTGTGCTTTTGAGGCTGTAGCTCCTTCACTTTGGAACTCTCTTCCACTGGACTTAAGATCTGTGCACACTTTGAAAGCCTTTAAGATGCAGCCCATTTATGTAGACTTGATTTTTTTTTGTCAGGTGTGGATGCAAACATCCTCAAATTAAAGCACAAAAGCAGCACTTTAATTTTATTTTGTTTCATTTAAATTCCATCAATCAACCAGGAGTGCAGAGCGAAAACAAAACTCTCCTAATACTTACGCACTGCATTGTAGGCAGTTGTGCAGCGACACAGAGGCAGACAGACAGGCTCTAGAGTGTGACCAGGTGTCTGTTTCCGGCGTACTCAACATCAACGTGCAGCCTGAGTGCATGATCAAAGGCAGCTTTATAGAGACAGAGGCCCATTAAAATACCAACAACTACTGCAGCAGTCTGGGGGTAAGTACGCAGCCCAACACACCCCGTTCTCACACACTAACATCATCGAGGGATTCTTTTCAGTGAACTCAAACTCAGTTTTCCTCCTAACTACCTACCTCTCTTCCTTCTCCTCCTCCTCCTCTTCTCGTACTCTGTTTTCTGTCTGTCTCTCTCCTCTCCTCCCTCCATTCCCCCTCACAGTGCCATCGCCTGAGTCTGCGGTCAGCTTCTATTTTAGCCCTGACCGAGTGGACCAGACTGCGGAGAGGAGCTTAACATTGTGTTCCTCTGCTTTGGTTAATGATGATTGAGTCCTGTATGTGCCTTGTGTGTGTGTGTGTGTGTGTGTGTGTGTGTGTGTGTGTGTTTGTGTCTGTGTATGGGAAGCCAAACGAGAGGCGGAAAGTAGAGGAAGAGCAAAATGTGCATGTGTGCATTCCCCTGTTGCTTGGCTACCTTTGAATTTCCGTTCAGTCTCTTTCATCTGTGAACTATTAGCAGTCATCTCAAGCAATCCTTTCTTTACTGCTTCAATCCACACACACACACACACACACACTGTGGGCAGAAGATAGCCTAGCCAAACGTCCACTGAAGACTGGATGTCACTTCACAACTACCTGAGACTTTGTTGTTAACTTAATTTTTGCACTGGTTTCCTTTTAAAAACCCACACAAATCCATGTTGCTTAAAGAAACATAAAACATTTTTGTATTATATGTACTTCTTTTTAATGAATTCACTTGTCAATAAATCGCTTCTCAGCATGCGCCAACTACAGCGATGACAACACCGTAGGTAACGAAATGCAGTCCACTAACACCACAAAGCGACCCGCTCCCAGCACAACACAGACTCCACCACAAACTCCAACATAAAGTCCACGTAGGGATAAAAAACAATGATAAAGTTTTATGTGCTGAAGCCAATCAGACCAAATGAGCAGATGCTAACGTTATCCGGTGCAAATTGTAACGTTATGGCTTTTCACATTACTTCACCAGCTAACGCGATCCATATTACTATCCTGTGTACCGCCGGTATTATGTCAGTGTTGATTTTAGCCTGCAAGACAGGTGTAAAGGTAAAAAGCTTATGTGGAGTGATTTATTTTTACTAGCCTAAAGTCATGCAGGCAGGAGCAGCCAGCTCTTGTTACGTCCGCACGGATATACCACTGTTTGCTTCGTAAAGTTCAATTTAGAATTTATTGTGGTTTTACTGATACTCAGGCACATAGCTTCTCCACCAGGCGCTAGTAACTTACGTAACCAGTATAATAATAAACAACAGTGCATAATAACGGCGTAGGACAACACCACAGTGAAAGACCCATTCACAAACGTTACAGTAACATTACTTACTGCGGTCTAACTGTTATAAAGTGTGGCAACAATCTAATTTATAATATTCAGTCCAGCTCACTAACCGTTTCGTTATCATCCAGTATATTTCGCTGTGCTCACATTGCTGAGCCTCTAGATAAAAATCTCCCGTGTGTGTCGGATAATGCTTCGCTTATTAGTTTGATCAGCGTAAACGCGCACACGGTTGTAATCTAAAAAAACGCACCACTGAAAACTACATATAGCCTCTTTAACCACTCACTTTGCAGACGTTTGTCGCATCCTTTGTTTCATGACAGTTAGCCTACAGTACAATGGATTCTAATTTCAGAGTGGAAAAAAAAGAATATGGAAACGTTTCAAACCATGCAGAATATTCCACTTCTCCTTTGTCTATTTCTTTGTTCAGTCCCAAACATTCATAGTTTTATGCGATTGTTTATTTCTAGCAGCTAGCTGTTTACTGTTTTGAAACTAAACAGCTAACCATGCTAGTTACAAACAGAAGATGTTAACAAATGGAAATTCTTTTTTTGTTTTTTTTTTCATAAACAAACAATGTAAATATACAGTTTTGATAAGGATCTCTTAAATTGGCTTTTTCCAAGATATC